TCGAGCCCCATGTCGGGCTCTGTGCTCAGTGTAAATTCGACTTAGGATTCTCTCTCTCCTTCTCCTTCTACCCCTCCCCCTGCTCGCTCACTCTCTCTCTCTTAAATAAATAAATAAATAAATAAATAAATAAATAAATAAATAAAATCTTTAAAGAGAAAGTCATGCTACATGCATTACTTAACTCTCATAGCAACCGTGAGATGTGAGTGGGGTATTACTGTCTTCTCTTTTACAGAGAAGAAAACTAGGCTCAGAGAAGTCGAGTAGCTGTTACGGACTGCGTGTTTGTGTTCCCCTAAAAGACATATATTTTAAACTAAACCCACATGGGGTGACATTAAGAGGTGGGGCCTTTTGGAGGTAATTAGGTTTAGATCAGGTCATAAGGGTGGAGCCTCTATGATGAGGCAAGTGTTTTTGTTTTTTTAAATTTTTTTAAGACTTTTTTTTTTTGAGATAAGTGTTCCTATTAGAAGAAAGGGGAGCTCTCTTTCTCCACCATGTGAGGATACAATAAAAAGATGCTATCTGCAAATCAGGAAAATGCTGTCACCAGACGCTGGATCTGCCAGCACCTTGAGCTTGGACTTCCCACCTCCAGAACTGTGAGAAATATGTATCTGTTGTTTAAGCTACCCAGTCTACCCTGCTCTGTTAGAGCAGCCTGAACTGGCCAAGATGGTAGCTTTCCAAAATCATTCAGCTCATAAATTATGGAACCAGGGCTTAAATACAGATCTGACTCCAAAGTCTGCTCTTCTTTCTCAGGGCATTGAAAATCTGAGCACTGTTCTTAGAACAGGTTTGAAAATATAATCTCCAGGTAGTCTTGATCCTGCTTGTGGAGTGGCCTTCTGTTAGGCATTGGTCCTTTTTGGTCCTTTAGGTTCTAAAAAGAGAGTCAGCCCCTAGTAAAAGGTTTACTCAGTGTCCATAACCAAGACCATTTGATGGTTTGGAGAGCCATTATATTCCTAAAAGGCTGTGGTGGCATTTAGCACCTCTGGAATAACGTCTTGTTGATTTATTTGTATTTTTTAAAAATGTATTTTTTTGAGAGAGAGAGGGAGAGTTAGCGCAAGAGAGAGAGTACCAGCAGGAGGAAAGGCAGAGGGAAAGGGAGAAGCAGACTCCCTGCTGAGCAGGGAACCCAACGCAATATGGGGCTCGATCCCAGGACCCTGAGATCACAACCTGAGCTGAAGGTAGACGTCCAACCGACTGAGCCACCCAATCTTCTTGTTGATTTAGATCCGTTCTGTGTTTGGTTTTTGTTTGTTTTATTACCAAAGGAAATTTCAGTTTTGCAGATGTAAATCTTATTATTAAGATGATGATGAAAATTCTGGTCCTGGTAGTCCCAGGTGATTAATTTTCACATTTATTTCTCGAAGAGCTGTTCCTTTGGGGCTGGATACCAAGTTGTGCTGGCTAATCTTGTCCTTCATGGCAATTTAACTCAATTTTTAATTGTATAATGCTTGTCTCCTCTACTGGACCTTAAACTTCTTGAGGTCAGGCTCAGGTCTGAAGCACAGTGCACACAGAATTGCTAAGTAAATATGTGTTGGATGATTGAGCCAAATGGATGTCCTCAATCAGGAACACCAGTCTTCGTTTCAAGTGTCTCTCTGAAAAGTCTCTGAGTAATGAGGGGCATGAAGACGTTATGCAGGACTGCAATTTAAGACACCATAATCTTTCCAATGCCTCACTTGATATTTCACTGCCTGACTAGCTTTCCTGGGTAACTCAATGTATTTCTGGATACAGTTGATTTTCATAATAGTCTAACCAAAATGTGCTGGGAAGGTATAAGTGTGCTGCTGCAAAATATAAAAATTGTATGCCTTCCAAAGCGAAGTATTTTCTTTGTATGTTTTCTGTTTTACAGTTACTTTCTTTTTTTTTTTTTAAAGATTTTATTTATTTATTTGAGAGCGAGAATGAGAGAGAGAGAGCATGAGAGGGGGGAGGGTCAGAGGGAGAAGCAGACTCCCTGCCAAGCAGGGAGCCTGATGCGGGACTCGATCCTGGGACTCCAGGATCATGACCTGAGCCGAAGGCAGTCGCTTAACCAACTGAGCCACCCAGGCACCCCTTACAGTTACTTTCTAAGTAGGATGAATATTGGTACAGTCTCAGATTGAAAATGTGTTGGGAAGACAGGCAACCATTTGGAAGTTTTCTTTCTTAATTAAACTTTATATTTTGAATGTATTCATTTTGTATTGCTGCTATAATAAGTTACCACAGATTTAGTGGCTTAAAACAACACACATTTATTATCTTATAGTTCTGTAGGTCAGAAGTCTGACATGATTCTCACTGAGCTAAAATCAAGGTAATTGGCAAGATTGGGTTCCCTTCTGGAGGCTCTAGGGGATAATCTGTTTCCTTGTCTTTTTCAGCTTCTAGAGGCCACTGCATACATTCCCGGTCTCTTGCCATCTTCAAATGTCTGGTCCTCACATCGCATCACTTGATCTTCTCTCAGAGCCATATTTATTTATTTTTAAGGTGTATTTATTTATTTTAGAGAGAGTGAGAGAGAGTGCATGAGCAGGAGCGGGGGAGGGACAGAGGGAGAGGAAGAGAGAGAATCTCAAGCAGACTCCCTGTTGAGGGCAGAGGCTGATCCAGTTGCAGAGCCATATTTATGACTCTGTTGCCTTCCTTTCACTTGTCACTTTTGTGATTACATTAGGCCCACCCTGATAATCCTGGGTAACCTCTCTATTTGAAAGCCATCTGATTAGCAACCTAATGCTATCTGCAACCCTTTGCCATGTAACCTAACATAGTCATAGGTTTAGGGGACTAGGATGTGGATGTCTTCAGGGGGACCATTATTCTGCCTACCACATGGAATAATTTTAGATTTACAGAAGAGTTGCAAAGTACAGAGAGTTACTGTGTATCCTTCACCCAGTTTCTTTTAATATTAGTATCTTCTATAACTGTAACACATTTGGCAAAACTAGGAAATTAACATTGGTACAATACCCTTAACTAAACTCCTGACTTCATTTGGATTTCATAAGTTTTCCCACTATTGCCTTTTTTTTGGTTCTAGGATCCAACTAGGACACCCAGTCGCATTTAGTGGGTTTTCATGACTTTCCTGCTAGTGTTTCTGCACCCACTAGACACTGATGTAATCAGGTCAGTCAAAGTTATCATGATAGTGTTTGTGGCAGTGTTGAGAGATGGTGACCAAGATAATACTTAGCACCTTACATGTACAACAAAAAGTTTGTGAAGGATTGCTACTCCAACTCATGCTTCATATGTTGGGAAAACCGTTCCTAATCTAACACTCTGATTTATGATGATTGCAGCATTATGACATTTACTGAGGAACACTGGTAAGACCCTTTTTATTTCAAGCTATCCAAAAAATATTAAAAACGGGGGGGGAGCATTAAACTTTAATAACAGGTTTGCCTCAGCTAGAATGAATAGTTTCTTGGTCTATAAAGCTAGTTCTGAAGAGAGGCTCACATTTATTTCTAGATCATTTTGGGGTAGGGAGAGGGTATAATTTTTGGTTCCGGCAAAAATATTAAGCACTTTGAGTTTGGTTTGGGGGCCTCTCTTTTCGCTAAATTTTAAAAACAAAAATTATTAAACTGTACACGTAACTCATATTCATCGCAGGAAAAATAGGAAACAGGGAAAAATGGAATTTAATCACATAGGATCTCATTCCCCAAAGTTTGTAATTAATATTCTGATAGCCTTTTTCCCCCTTTGGGTGTGTGTACACATATATAGTAAACATAAACATAATTCATTTATGAAAATTGGGTATTATACATACTGTTTCCGCTGGATATATCATGAGTGTGTATCCCTAGTATTCTTTAGAATGGCTACACAGTAGTGCCCACCTCTTTTCAGCGAGACTCCCAGGTACCTTGTGTTTTAGTATGTTTTCCTGAAATAATCCTGCAAGCTCGGGGAATTTATTGGCAACAGATGCTAGAAAAGTATATGGAAGATCTGTATGGTACTTCTCAGAGTACATTTGACACACTGATTGTAAAACGGAAGTAATAGTGATATCTATCCCAGTGTTATTGGAGAAACAATAATGCATAGCACATAGAAAACAACCCATAGGGCGCCTGGGTGGCTCAGATGGTTAAGCGTCTGCCTTCGGCTCAGGTCATGATCTCGGGGTCCTGGGATCGAGTCCCGCATCGGGTTCCCTGCTCAGTGCAGAGCCTGCTTCTCCCTCTCCCTCTGCCACTCCCTCTGCTTGTGCTCTTCTGTCTATCTCTCTGTCAAATAAATAAATAAAATCTTAAAAAAAAAAAAAGAAAACAACCCATAATGTGACTTGTTAATTATTGTTACTGATTCGGCAATAGTCCTGTATGAGAAGAATTATCACCATCATCTTGTATGTATTTAAGACGAGGAAACTGATGAGAAAAACTCAAAGACGTATGTCAGTCTGGTAACTTCAGCTCATTTGACTTCAAATTCCATTCTCTGGGCTTTGCACTGAATCGAAACTCTTTCCTATGGGAGCTGCCCTTTCTTTAAATAGTGCAGTTAGTTACAGACCTACTACCTGCCTCCATTAAAAATTACTTTCTGAAAGTCAGCTCTCGACAAAAGGGTTTCAAAAGAATGAAGATAAAAATAAAGAATAACACACCCAAAGATACATTATTTTCCTATTTCCAATTTCTCAGAGCCCTACAAGGAACGGCTTGGCTTCGGAATGGTTATCCAAGTTGGAATAAACAGGGGCCTTAACAAAGCTAAGCCACCAGAACTACTGGTGTGGGGTGAGCTTAACCAGCTGAGCCACCCAGGCGCCCCGCGATGAGTAAAAGGGATTAGCCGCTTCTCGAATTTGCCACGTGGCTTTGCCGTTGCCCTGGACGCGCTAGGAGGGGGGGAGAAACGCCTAACGTCTGAAGGACTACATTTCCCAGAAGTCTGCGCGCCGCGCGCCACGTGACCGCCGGCCGAAGCGCGCCCGGCCGTTCGGTCCCCAGCCACGTTCTCGGCCGCTTCCCTCTTCTCTCCCCGCCTCCCTGCCTCCGTACGGACGCGGCCGGGGCGGGAGCCGAGCCGGAGTCGAGCCGGAGCTGGAGCCGGAGCCGCAACCGCACAGACGTGGAAACATGGAGGCCTGAGCCGGCGTGCGCCACCCTGGCTGCGGCGGCGACGGCGGCTTCTTCCGATCCCCCTCTACCACCCGCTCCTGTGTCGGTGGAGCTGGAAGCGGATCTGCCCTCCGGCTGAGACAGGTGGGCTGTGGCGCCGCCCCCAGCGGAACGGCCCTGGAAGCCCGGCGGGGCCCCCAGCCCCTTGTCCGAGCAGGTTTGCGGACACCCTCACCTCCCGTCGGCGGGACAGCTCCGCCGGGGCGGGAGAGAGGGTCCTTTCCTGCCCATGGGGGACTGGGCCACCCTGGAGGGGCAGTGCCTGGGCCGCGAGAGCCGCCCGCATCTTCCCCCGCCCCCTTCCAGGGCACAGTGGCACTGAGAGGGTGGGGGAGTGTGTTAGTCAAGAGTGAGAGGGACCTCTCTCCGAGTCTAGTGTTAAGAGTTGGGGGGATACCAAAGAGCAGGTAGATAGAGGCATCGGGAGATGGGGCGATGTTGGTCTGACAAATGGGCGTGTAATGGGCAGGGTGAGCAATTGTGTTGATTTTCTTTTTCTTTTCTTTTTTTTTTACGTACACGTTGTTACGGAGAAGTAGTTCACATACCATAAAATTCATCCTTTAAAATCACGAAGTATAACTCAGTGGTTTTTAGCATATTCACAGGGTTGTGCAACTATCTAATTCCAGAGCATTTTTGTTGCCCAAAAAAGAAACTCGTACCCATTAACAGTCACTCTTTATTTCCCCCTTTCCCACTTCCTGGCAACTAGCAATTGTACTGAACTGGGGTAGAGGAGTGATGGGGTGATTGTGATAGGGCCGGCAATGGGGTACACAGAATGGACGGAATAGGGGTTTAGATGGAGTGGGACCCCTGAAAGGGGAGAGGGGAGGTTGGAGGGAGAGGTATGTAGAGAGAAGCTTCTGTGTAGACAGGGGTGTTGGAGGCCTTGGAGGGGAATGTGATCTTACAGAGGAACCCAGGCCTTTGGTCAGAAGGGTGGAGGGCACAAGAAAGGAACTGGAGGTGGAAGGGAAGAGATCTATAGGAATAGGGGAATGGTTGCTGCCGAGCATGAAATTTGTGAATATATAGATTTCTAGAATGATTATTCTTGCTTTGTAATTTTTATCTTAGATAATTCTCTTGGCAACTCAGAGTGGCCAAGTATAAATATTCACATTCTGCAGATGAAGAACCAGGCTCTTAGAGGTTAAGTGATTTGCTGAAACTTTTAAGGTTAATAGGGTAAAATGGGTTGGGGATTAAAGAATAATTGATTAAACTGTAAGTTGCAGGTGGCTTGAGTGGCAGAGAGGAGAGGCGCAATGTCACAGGAAGGAGATTCAACTGTTAAATATATTGAGTCTGTATTATTATGATAGAATCCAAGGACTTTGTTTTTGTAACTTTTAAATACAGAACAGTTTAAATATTGAAATAATTTTAATATCCCCCCATGTACCCATTACCCAGCTTCAACAATTAGTAACTCAGGCTAATTTACTTTCAACTACTCCCTTATCCATTCCTATCCCCGCTCCCAACTATTTTAAAGCAGATCATAGGCATACCATTTCATCTGTAAATATTTGAGTGTATATCTGTCTGTAGAAGGTCGAGTCACTCTTTTTAATATGCCCACATTACTATTATCACATCTAAAAAAATTAATAGTAAGCTCTTAATATCAGTATTTAGAAGGACTTATTTTTAAAAACGTAGCATCCATTTGATACAAGGGAATTACACAGTGCAAACACTTTGATGTTTGACTCTCTAAAAAACATGGTATAATTGTTTCCTGTTTTTTTTCCAGTTGCTCCTCTAACCTTGTTTCATTTTCTTGGTTGATATGGTTCATCCTTCTACAAAAAGTTCAAAGAATTGTCATTTATTGTCACTTTGGCTGGCATTTTAATTGATGGAGTTTTCATGAGAGGAGAAAAATAGAAGTGAGATACATGTGCAAATTTTAAAAAAGTGAAATATACATGCACAAATAACTTATGTCTCCTTGCTCTAAATATTTGGGCAATTTGATTATACTTTTGTAGATACTTTCACATGTTGTTAGAAGTTGTTTACTATGAATTAGTTTTTTTTTTTTTTTTACGATTTGTTGTAGAGAGAGAGTACAAGGTGGGGGAAGGAGGGACAAGGGGGAGGAAGAGGGACAAGCAGACTTGGCACTAAGCGCAGAGCCCCAAGTGGGGCTCGATATCAGGACCTTGAAATCATGATCTGAGCTGCCACCCAGGCACCCTGTGTGTGTTAGTTTTCTATGCCTACTGTAACAAGTTACCACAAATTTAGTATCTTAAAACAATACAAATTATTTTAAAGTCCTGTATTTTGAAGTCCAAAATGGGCCTTACTGGGCTAAAATCAGTGTGTCAGCAAGGTTTGTTCTTTTCTGGAGGTTTCTAGGGGAGAATCTGTTTCCTTGTCTCTTCCAGCTTCTAGAGGCCACCCCTATTCCTTGGTTTGCAGCCCTCGTGCTCCATCTTCAAAGCCAGCATCTCTTCGTCCATTCTGTAGTAGGTCTCTGATCACGGCTGGGAAAGGTTAAGGACCTGTGTGGTAAGATCAGGCCCACCTGGATAAGTCAGGAGAATTTCCCCCATCTCAAGGTCCTTAACTTAATTATAGCTGCAAAGTCCCCTCTGCCGGGTAAGATAACAATCACAGGTTCCATAGATGAGGATATAGACATCTTCGGGGGCTATTATTCTGCCTACCATGTTTTGGAACATTTTGCTGAGACTTCCTAGGTGAAGTGACTTCCTTTGCTGCTACAAATTCAATGTGTCATCTTTCACTTTAGATAATGGGTATGGTTAACGATGGAGAGGACCACTCCATTTTCCTTTTTAGTGACTATGACAAACATATGGGAAATACCTGTGTGCTTGCAGTGTAGGTTTTGATAAAATGAGACCTTTAAAAGTGATGAAGCATAAAAGCAATGTGACAACATGTAAAGTCTTTATTTCATTTTGGTCTCCTTGTATTTATGTTTTTTAAGTATTGTATACTTGTAATCAGAGTGTCTGTAATGCTCAGCGTCTACTGGGGCAGTGATGGTTCCTGCGTTCCCGTTGAGAGATCCCTCTGTCCCAGTGGGTGATTGAGGCACCCCCAATTCAACAGGAAGACTCTTTTTTTTTTCTTTATTTTGGAGAGAGGGAGTTGCGGGGAGGGGCAGTGGGACAGGGAGGGAGAGAGAACCTCAAGCAGACTCCATGCGCAGCGTGGAGCCGGACACAGGGCTCGATCTCATGACCCTGAGATCACGACCTGAGCTGAAATCAAGAGTCGGTTGCTTAACTGACCGAGCCACCCAGGCGCCCCCAGAAAGATTCTTAAAGTGAGAAAATGTGCAGGAAGAATGAGCTCCCGACAAACTTGGGCTTGAGGCCCCTTCTCAACTTTTTTTTCTGTGACCTGGTTGGTTGAAAAGGGCTGTGAGCCTGAATAGGTGAGGGGCCAGATGTCTTTTGCTGCTCATCCTTTCCCAGGATGGAGAGAAGATGGAGTCTTGGAGGTAGACAGGACTTAGGAAGTCCTCTAGTCTGGTATCTTGCTTCCTGAGGGGGTTCCACATTCCACCTTAGCTCTCAAGGCCTGGACTGTGGCTGGGTGTGAAGGTCCTGGCCCTGATGATGGTGTGTTTCAGCGTACCACTTCTCAGTTAAGTGTAAGGGGAATTGTTCACTATCGGCTCCCGCCTTTCAGCTTGTTTCGCTTTGGCAGGTTCTTCGTGGAGTTAATGCTCTGAACTTCTACTTAAAAACTGCATGTAAACAGTGTGTAAGTTATCTACCAATTACTTATTTCTAGTCAAAATAACCTAAGCTAGTAGGGTTGAGAATAACTTTACAAAAAGGTCTTATTTACTAACATATTTTGTTCTTTTTTTCATTTCTTTAAAGAAGTTTGGTTGGTACTTTTTGATCTTCTCTAATTTTTATCATATTCTTTAAATATGCAGATACCACGCCGGGGTTGCGGGCTTGGGGTGGGGCCGGGTGTGTGGACAAAATGGGTAAAGTTGGTCAAAAGGTATAAACTTCTAATTATAAGTCGTGGAGGTGTAGTGTGCAACATGGCGACTATAGTTAATAATTATTGTATATTTGAAATTTGCTAACAGTAGAACTTTTAAGTTTTCATCATAAGAAAAAATTGTGATTATGGTGATGGATGTTAACTAGACTTAATTGTGATCATTTTGCAATATACGCATATGGAACATTATGTTGTACACCAGAAACTAACATAATGCTACATGTCAGTTATATCTCAACTTACAAACAAAGCAGGGGTGCCTGTTTTGGCTCGGTTGGTTAAGCGTCTGGCTCTTGGTTTCGGCTCAGGTCATGATCTCAGGGTCGTGAGATCAAGCCCCATGCTGGGCTCCAGGCTCAGTGTGGAGTCTGCTTGGGTTTCTTTCCCTCTTCCTCCCCCTCTGCCCCTCCCCCAGCTGGCACACACCGTACTCTAAGATAAATAAAAAAATGCAGACACTAAAAGTGGCTGTTAATTCTCCAATAAGGACACTGGAAGAATTAAACAATACACATTTTGTGTGTCATATGACTCATAATTTCTTTTTTAGATTGATTCAGTCACTGAATCTTAACAATTCCTTCAGAATATCTCTTGCAACCCTTCACCTTAGAATACCTTTTTTTTTTTTAAAGATTTATTCATTTATTTTAGAGAGAGCGTGCATGCGCCGGAGCAGAGGGAGGGGCAGAGGGGGAGAGAGAATCTTTTTTATTTATTTATTTGTTTATTTATTTATTTGAGAGAGAGAATGAGATAGAGAGCATGAGAGGGGGGAGGGTCAGAGAGAGAGGCAGACTCCCTGCTGAGCAGGGAGCCCGATGTGGGACTCGATCCCGGGACTCCATGATCATGACCTGAGCCGAAGGCAGTCGCTTAACCAACTGAGCCACCCAGGCGCCCTTTTATTTATTTATTTATTTATTCATTCATTCATTCATTCATTCATTTATGAGAGAGAATGAGATAGCATGAGAGGGGGGAGGGTCAGAGAGAGAGGCAGACTCCTTGCTGAGCAGGGAGCCCGAGGGGGAGAGAGAATCTTAAGCAGACTCCCTGCTGAGTGC